GAGAGAGAGAGAGAGAGAGAGAGAGAGAGAGAGAAAGACAGGGATAGAGAGATTCAAGATCTTTAACAACTGGTAGGATGCTGATCATTCAAAATGACCACTCAAAACTAGAGGGGACAAGGAAAAGGAAGGTGTGCAGGGGGTGGACCTCCTGGAAATCAAAGAGAGATCCGCAAAGGACAGGGACCAGGGGTGTGGGGACAGTGCTAGGGAGTGACATGGGCCATATTATATTGCTATATTGTGTGCACGGACCAAGAGCTAAAACAGCATCCTGTCATTATGGGTGACCATAAAGCACCAATAAAAAAAATGTGGAAACCAACAACAAATAAAAAGCAAATAATAATAATAATACTGGCTACAGCTCCTAAGTTCTCCTGCTGATTCTCAAGAGGGGTTTGGTGGCTGGGTTGGAAAGTGCATGAAGTGTGTTTTATTATTATTTAGATACCGGGAGGCCAACAGGCGACAGATGCCATTGTTAAGACGTTGGTTGAACTCACAGATTCCAAGACAAGGGGACACGCAGGGAAGCACTGGGGTCCTCAGGAGGCAGAGGGAGGTGGAGAGGGGGGACATGGGCCAGAGCCTGTGTCCCCAGTGATTGGCTGAATAACTGCAGCAGGCTGGGGGCCCAGGGCTGTCCCTAGCTGTCCCTAGCTGTCCGGTCTCTGGCCCCAGGGACACTAGGACAGGTGGAGAGTGGCCCAGAGTGCAAGGGCACAGTGAAGGAGGTGACCGAGGGTGCGCAGGGCTGGCTCGGCCTGTGAAACCCACTCTCCCCGAGTCCCCTACACCTGCAGGAACTGGCTGGCTCTGGGCCGGCAGTCTCTCTGGAGGCCGCAGATGGAGAAGGCCCCAGAATAGGAGATATGCTTCCTATAGGTTAGGGCACCGCAGGGGACCTCAGAGACCGGGCGGTGGAATTTACCAAGTGGTGCATTAAGACACCAGACACTGATATGTTTGGACACCTGGCATCTGTGTCGCTGAGCGCCCAGCGTTGGATCTGGCGTTAAGCACAAGTACCCAGAGGACCTACACTGAATTCCTAAATTAAGGGCCGGCTTTGGAGTCTCTCCAGCCCCTGCACACTGAAGTCATTTTGGGAGAAGAATAAGGCAATGTGGTTCCACATGGTGGCCCTTCCCCGCTCCCTCTAGAGCCACCAGGAACCCACATCTGCTCACACCCGTGCAGCTCTGGAGCTGGGGACCGGTGGGGCTGACCTTACTGCAGGCCTTGGCCGACCTGCAGGGTCCCACACCTCCAGCCAACTGCAGGGCCCCGGATGTGGTGGTGGGGGGACTCTGGGCAGCCCCACCCCTTGGCCCGCTCCAGGTGTGGGCTCATTTAGGAGTCGCTATTGATTTTCACATTACAATGCACAACTCATGAGGTGCGGGAGGGAGGGTGGAGAGGAGCCAGTCACTGATTCCTGGAATTTATTTCTAGACACATTAATTTGTTTCTTCCCTTCAAGGTCAAATCAAGTCATCTCCATACATCACCCTTGGCAGCTGGCTGGCTGCAGGGAGCTGGGGCGGGGGTGGGGTGCTGTGGGGCTAAAACTCCCCCACCCGTCGCTCCCGTGGAAGTCAGTTCTGGGCACTCCTGTCCCAGCTTCGTGGAAATGAGGGTTTGGGAACAATATTCCTCCGCCGCTTGGTCAGGAGGGTCTCTGGGGAAGGGGCTTGTCATCTATCTTGATGTCAGATCTTTTGTCCTTGGCCTCCAAGTTCCCAGAACCGAAATGAAGCAATTTTAGGAGTTTGAGATTTTTGCTGGGAGCCTGATTTTCCGAGGTGACCTAAACTCACCCTTCAGCCCTTTATTCCATAAATATATATGGTCTCCAATGTGCCAACTCAGCACTTGGCGTAAAACACAGCACTAAACGAGATGGGAAAAGAAAATCCCTGCTCTTGAGCAGTGTGTGCTGCAGGCTACTGTGAAGCCTCTCACAGTACTATACTGTAGGGCAGGGCAGTGTTTGCAGCCGAAGAGAAGGAATATGCAAAGGTCCTGGGGTGAGAAGGAGCACAGAGTCTGAGGGACAGGAAGGAGACCTGTGTGCAGGGAATAAGATAGGGAGCTGTGGGGGCTGAAGTTGGAAAGGTGACAGGAAGTGACAGATCATGCAGGACTTCCAAGGTGGTAGAAAGGAGTTTGGATTTTGTTTGTTTGACTCATTCATTTGTGCATCTGGCGAGTAGGGAATGCCTCCAGGCGACAAGGTGTCAGGAGTTAGGAACTCAGCAGAGAAGTACCCACACATGGCCTCTGCTTTCCTGAGACTGGAGTCAAATCCGGGGAGTGGCTGGCTCTCTGGGAAAGCCAGGCCCTCCTGAGATATTGAAATAAAAATGTAGCAAACCTTCTACGGAGGGCCCTCCTCCAAACATCGGCACAGTCTCCAAAGCTCCATCCTCAGGGTCCCTTCTCCCTTCCCCGTCCCTCCATGAAGGAGCCTCTCTGTACTTTGCTCTGGGTGACCTCATACGCCGTCCACCCCCTGCCCCAAGACCACGCTCACAAAGCACCCCCAGGTGCAGATGGCACCCTAAAGGTTGGACTGCCACGTGAGTCTCATAATGCAAAGAATTTAAAACGGAGTAGTGCGCAGGGTGACTTGAGCATCGAGGTCCACCCTCCTGCTGTTCCTCACCCACCCCCCTTGCTACAGTCTAGCTGCTGCCGTCCTTATTGGTGGCCCCCGGCAGGTGCCCTGGTCCTCCGTGGATGGGTCTCCACTCTGCCCACTTGGGGTCGAACCCCTCGGGGGCCAGGAGGGGTGAACTTGGAAATAACAACCTTGCTTTCCCGTCCTCTTTCCTGCCTCCCCAAGGGGGAAGAAGTGGGACCCGGCGCCTAGTCCGTGTCTTGCCCAGAGCAGGTGGTCCAGGAAGTGTGTGTTGAGCAAATCAGGAATGGAGGGGGGTCCCCCTAAACTGGAATAATTCCTCCTCCCCCTTCCTTGAAAGCAGAATAGACTGGATCCATTTGGGGTTTTGTTATTATTATTTGCTTTGCTACTAAACACCCAGATGGTTACTGTGTTGGCTGAGCGAGAGGGAGGCCCAGATGAGACCTTGGAGAAGGAGCCAGTAAAGAGGGAGGACCAGTGACCCTTGGAAGGGACAGAAGCCGGGTGGGCAATGTTCTGATGGCGAGAAAGGGCCTGGGAGGTCAGAGGAAGAGAGAAGCCAGGCGAGTGCGAGGGGCGGGTGGGAGGGGCTGCAGTTACTGAGACAGTCCAGGGACAGATCCAGCAGCCTCGTGGGTCTCACAAAGAAGTCTGGACTCTGTCTTGGGAACAACAAGGAGCATTTTCAAAGGAGCATGCCGTTCTCCTTGGCTCATGTGTTCTCTCCTGCCTTCCGTGTCCGACCCTCAAGCCTGCTGTACCTCCTCCTAGAGCAAGCCATCCCTGAGTCCCACCCTCTGCCAAGCCCTGACTTGCTATATGGCAGACTCAGTCAAGGCACTTTCCATGTTGCCTTGTTGGGAGAAAGGCAGGCAGAGGGGCAGCCAAAGGCCTGCAGCGGGGCTGCCTGGGCCTGCTGTCCACCAGGTGTGTGACTGGGCGCGGGGCACTTTCTCTGCAAAGGGGTCATAGAGCCAGACCATCCACCTAGACTGGCAGGGTGACTAGAGGCACTGACGGGCACAAGGCCCTCTAGAGGGTGTCCAGCACATGCTCAGGTCCCCTGAGGGCCCTTCTCTCCTGCCTGTCACTAGACTGGGCGCCTGGGGGCCAGGGACTGCCTACTGCACAGGACTGAGCAGGGGAGCTGCGCAGGACAGATGCTCTGATCCGACCATCTTGGGGACCTTAGAAGGTCTGGGGACCCTGGAGAAGCGGCCCTACACTCCTCCTGGACTCTTCCCCACCAAATACATGGGTTCAAGTCACCACGTGACTCACCCCATCCACCTCCTCCTGGGACTCAGCTCCCTCATTGCAAAATGAGCATCTCCCTGGGGATGCAATGGGATTGGCTCCAGTGGTGGAGCATGTGACCCAGACCTGGCCAATCAAAACGCTGGTTTCTTGAACTAGTTGGATCAGAACTGGTCATGTGATCCGAGCTGGTCCAATAAGAATGAGTCTTAGGAAGATGCTAGAGGGTCTGGGGAAAGCCGGGCTCTGCTCTGTCAGGACTGCGATGTGGGAGGATGCGAGGCTGCTGGGATGGCAGCCCTTTTGTGGTCACAATAAAGGACATGCGGGGGGGGGGGGCATGTGGGGCTGGGAGCAGGGGAGAGGGGACAACAGGAAAACAGGATGCAGCCCGCACCACATTCCACTTCAGCAGCCCGGCTCCCTACCACCCTCTCTGTTCAGCGTTCTGGCTCCTGGCAGCATCTGAATCTGTGGCAGCCATTGCACCACTGATTGCCCTCACAGCTGCTGTGCTGCTTCCCAACAGAACCGCATTTGGTTCATGTTCTGGCTTCAGAGGATAAATCAATATAATCTAAGCCCATCATGGCCGCCCATTTTCTTTGTACAGGGATGGGTGTCAGGATAGACAGGTAACCCAGTATGGGCCAATGAGATAAAAGAAGATATCTACTGGAAGCTTCTGAGACATACTTTGCTCACTGATAAATCAAAAAAGTCAGAAGAGAAGAACTTTTTACCTCTGCTTTCTCTTCCCAGACATTGTCATAGGAGGATGAGATGCTTGGAGCTTTTGCAGCCACCTTGCAACCCTGAGGAGAGACTGTAACTTGTTAGAGATGGTAGAGGGAAAAAAAAAAAAAACAGGAAGCACTCCAGGTTCTTGGTGGCACAACAGCTGAAGAAACAACGCTGAAACCACTGACCCCTAAACTTCTTGTGAAGTTAAATTGCTGTTTATGTCCTTTAAGCCACTATTAGCATGGTTACCTGACGCCACAGCACTCCCAACTAATAGCATCTACCTCAGTGATCCCGCATTTCGCTTCTCACCCAAAGAAACACACAAGGCTAAGAACTTCAGCTCCTTTATTGTTGTTGTTATTCACTTTTTCACTGTTATTTCCCCCTAAACAGCAGCACAAGTCAAACAAGGACACACACACATCGCCCTCCAGACAGGACCCCACAACTGCCTGGCTTTTTGCCTGTTCTTGGCAGAGCGGTCTGGAGACAGTCCCCTCTGTATAAATCCCAACTTGGTCATAGGAGACCCAAGAAGGGGGTACCTTAGCCAGAGAATTCACGGAGGGAGTCCCAGAGTCCTTGGAGTGTCCTTCTGGGGACCTTGGGAGCATGCTGTAAAGGTCTGGGCCGAGGGCAGAAGGCACTGTTCGTTTTCCCGGGTGGGCGGGGATCTAAACCTGAGCATCCCCCTTTGCAGACCAGGGGGGGGTGGAAACACACTGGCGCCAGCCCGCGGGCTCCACCCGCCCAACCCCAAGGCAGGCACAATCTGGGTAATGGGGAGGTCCCCGGAGAAAGGCAACCCTCGCACTAGCTGCAAAGGTCAGATGCAAGGTGAAATGTCAAGTCCCCATTTATTCATTTTGCAATTAGAGAATGTACAGTGTTTACATGGAGATAGATTAAAAAAAAAAAAAAGTCACAAAAGAAAAAAAACCTCCCAGGACTCTTTGGCCTCACGCAACCAAGCATGGGTCTGCCCATTGCGCCGCCCTGTGGAGGCACCTAGTACTACACCATCCAGGGACTCTGTGGTCCTTGTCCCCATCCCCATCCCCATCCCCCCTCAACCTTGGAGTCGCACTAAATCTGAGCTCAGCTAAAGTCGTGTACCCTGGAATCAGAGAAGCCCTGGGGCTGGGGAGGGAAATAAAGGACGGGCCGAGACTGGGGTTCTCAGGTGCAGGTGACTTCGGGGCTGTCCGGAGGGAGCTCATTGCTGAAGTTGCTCTCTCCAAAGGGTGAGTAAGGGGGCACCTGGGGAGCCTCGATGATCAGCAGGCCCTCTGGGGACAGCGAGGCGAACACGGTCACAGGGTCCACCTCCGCAGGAAGCCTAGGAGAAGCACAGAGTGGAGCCACTTGTCATTTTTCCTGTGACTTCAACATTGGTATTCATCTAAAGAAGGTGACCTTAGGCTGGGGGAGGGGCCACCATGCCGGCTCTGAACCCCGGATCTAGTCTCCCTGCCTGACCTTGGAAGGCCCCCCCATTGCCCTTGGTAGGTGAGTTTGAATCCTCTTCTATAAAGAGCCGAGGAGGAACGAGTTTAATACAAGGTGGGCAGAGCGGCTCAGAGTCAGGGGTTACAGGAGCGGACGCGTCTCCGTTTGCCATGTGCCTGGTGGGGAGTACGTGACGGCAAGATGCATTAGTGGTGGGATCATGGGTGGGACCGTCGCGTAGGTAGGTCAAGGGGTCAGGCTGGCCACATGGATGGGTTTCCGATGGCAACATACTCAGGATGGGGTTCAACAGGTCTCAGCAGGTCATCATTGTTTGGTTCCCCAAACTCGGCTGTCGGCGTCACCCGGTTGGAGCTTCGTGAGAGACGGGTGTCACGTGCCCATTTCACAGATCACTAAGGGGAGGCTTCGGGAAGCCAAGTGGCAAGCCATGTACCAGCTCTCTCAAGGGGAGTGAGAGAGCATCAAAGATGGGATTTATGAGCCCAGACCTGGTTCCAATGCTAATAAGACTTTTTTTTTAAATGAATAAATAAATTTGGGGTTGTTTGGGAATGAACGAGGCTCTCTGGAACACGGTTTCCTCGACAGACTTGAAATTTCAAGGTCATGTCAGTGGCTTCATGGAGATGGCATGATTAATAAAAATAACGAAAGCTATGACCTTCTGAGCACCCTTTTTATGTGCCAGGTATCTAAGATCATCTCACTCAGTTGTTAGCAATAATCCAACCAGGAGGGTTCCATTACTAGCTCTGATTTTTAGTTGAGGAAATTGAGATTCAGAGAGGTGAACGGACTCCCCCAAGGTCACACAGCTGGGACACGGCAGATGGAAATGCGAATTGGAACCCTGAGCTCCAAACTCAAGAGTAGCCAACCCCGATCCTCTACCACCTCCCTGGGCACCAGACTTGTGAAGAAGGGACCGTGGGGGGAAGTCAGTCCCCAGAGGCTCTGCCTGTTCTAACCGCAGGGGTCTTGATGATCCTCAAGAACCAAGGTATGGGCTGAGCCTGTTTGTGATCGTGGGAAGGACCCGTCACAGAAGGGCCAGGGAGCTGTGACCCAAGAGCCCATCCCCCCGGGGGACGACCTGCCAACTGGAGACCAGGAGGTCAGCAAGAGCGCCTCCCAGGACGGCGGTGGGCGAGGAGGAGGAGCCGGGCAGTTGCTGAGCCAAGCTCCTGAAGCAAAGGAGGCCAGACACCTGGGGCTCCTCCTGCTGCGGGGATGGGCTAATGGCTTGTCCACCTGCAGGTCCTCTGGACAGGCGCCTGGCAGCAGGCGGCAGGGCCAGGGCTTTGCAGGTGGACGGGGCACTGGAACCCGGACTCTTCCTGGCCGTCAGAGTTGGGCTGGTGCTCTGGCCTCTCTAAGCCCATGTCCTGGGGAGGCGTGGCAACCGCTGACATTGTCCGAAAGCACACCAGCATCGCGACACCCGCTGGAGTGTCATCCAGCCCTGGAACACGGACCCTCAGGGGATCATCTTGGTCACCTGGGGACTGTGCTGTGTCATTACGCACGGGGAATCCCAGGCCTGGAGAGGGGCTTGGATGTGCCCAAGGTCTCCAGGGTCTCTCCCCAGGTGACCCGGCCTGAGCCCCGAGGGTGGGAAAGCTATGACTCGGCTCATCCTGCGGACGAGGTTCTGTGCCCACCGATGCCTGTTTGCTCTGTCACCCAAGTTGGGGGAAGAAAAGAGCCCACTGCTGTCCCGCCCTGCCCCCCCCTCCGGATAGGCCCATCCCTCTGTCCCCTCTGCCACCCAGATGCCGCCTTTGGGATGCATTTCCTGCCTGGGTGGAAACCCCCCAGGATCCAGCCTGGCTGAAGAAGAGACTCCCCTGACCTCTAAGGACTGCCCTTTTCCCAGGAAGAAGCCGTGAGGTCTCCCGAGATTGGCCCCAGACTGCCCCCATCTCCGGCCCCACTCCTTGAAGTCCGTCTGAGCAGACCCAGGCGGTCCCAGGAGCCCCAGCGGCTCCCCTGTATCCCAGCCCTGTGGAGTCTTGGCTTAGTGTCCGTTCCCACGGACCCAGCACGGTCCCCAGCCCTAGCTAGAGGTGGTAGCCGCAGGCTGGGCAATAGCTTCACATTTTTTTTTTTCCTTTGGATACCGGGGATTGAACTCAGGGGCACTCGACCCCTGAGCCCCAGCCCCAGCCCCAGCCCTATTTGGTATTTTATTTAGAGACAGGGTCTCCCCGAGTTGCTTAGGGCCTCGCTGTTGCTGAGGCTGGCTTTGAACTCGCGATCCTCCTGCCTCAGCCTCCTGAGCTGCTGGAGTGACAGGTGTGGGCCACCAGCCCCAGCTTACATTTGAACAGTCTTAACACTCTGCCCACCACCCGCTGAAGAGCAGCCCGGCCTCCAGCCACTTCAGCCATTGGAATCTGGTCAGGGAATTCCCAGCAAGCTTTACCCCAGGCTTCAGAGCCGCGGGAATGGCCATCTTTAAAGAGGATAGCTTCCCCGACTTCTCTCCTGGGCCGTCCCCTCCACAGCTTGGCCCTGCTGGGATGCCCCCGGAGCTCTCTTGTCTTGAGTCTCTGGAGAGACACTGACAAGAACTGGAATGACCAAGGCCACTAGGAGGACCCCCTGGGGGCCAGCAGCCTCAGCTGGTCACTCTCCAAGCCTGGGATCACCTTTGACAGAGCAGGAGCCAGGTTTCCTTGCTCGCGGAAGCCGGAGGTCAGCAAGCTGTTTAGGGCCATGCTGAATTCTCAGGGTGGACCTGGGCCAGACCCTTTCGCTTGTGGGGACTCCGTTTTCCCCCAATACGAGGACGGTGGTGTCTTCTCCTAAATGCAGCTAGCCAGGGCTGGGGACAGGCCCAGAGCAGGCCCTGCTGACAGAGAGGTCACCCTGCCCCCTCTGGGTCCCTCCTGCAGCTCTGCCACAGTTTCTTCCCCTCTAGCTGTGACCGTTCCATTCCTTGCTCCAAGGCGGGAGGCCTTGCAAGAGCTGGTGAGGGACAGAGGCCCAGCCCTGGGTCCCGGCGCCCCAGCCCTCCCCATCGGGAGCCCCCCACCCGTGACCGGCCCCGGGTCACTCACTGGATCTTCTTGGTGAAGTTCTTGGAGACGATGCCGCCTTCCTGCTGCTTCTCCTCGTGTTTGCCTGCAAGAAAGAGGAGTGTCACCTGTCGCCCCCTTGGTCCCCGGGAGGGCACCCCGCAGGGCTCCAGCCCTGTCTGGCTGGGTGGTCTCTGTGCACTCAGGTCCACCGCTCAGGCGGCCACGAGGATGCAGCAGGGTCCTGCAGGGAGAGGGGCTTGACTCTGGTTGGGGGACATCTGTTAGGAAATCGCAGAGACCGGCCCCTGGTGCACCAGATCATCCATTTCTCTCTACTCACTCCTGCCCGCTGGCCAGGCCGCGGGACCCCAGGGCTCACAGCCCAGGCCGGGGGGACAGCGAAGGGCAGCCACCTGGGGAGGGACCCTTTCTATCCAGCTTGCGTTAGCCCCTTCCAGGCTCTGAGGTGGGGCCGCCTGCTCCCCTGTGGTCCAGGTGCACACAGAGGCCCCGGTCAGGCCCGGGGTTGGGGGGGTCACCCAGCAGGTCCCTGGCCGCTCTGGGCTTTGAGTCAGCTTCTCCGGAGCCTGATGCCCTTCTGCCCTGGGATTTGTGCCTGTTCCAGCTCCCGGTTAGCTCTTTTAGAGCCACATTGTCTGTACCTAGTAGTGAGAGAACATTCTAGAACAATGCATTGACCTGCGGAACACTCCCGGCCTCTCCTTAGAGAAGGAGTCTGGGACCCAAACTGGCTTTTCTCTTGCGATTCTGTGTAGCCGATCCGGATCCTCCGGGCCCTCCTCTTCCTCCTTCTTTGGAGTGCAGGGGTGGGGTTTCTTGTTGGATGAACAGGTGCACAGGAGGGGGGGGCGCTTTCTGTGGGACCACAGTCCAGAACCTCACTTCCCCGGGGGCCAGCCCAGGGCTCTGGAATCCAGGCTATTAATGATCTTATAGGATGTGCTGTCCTCTTTTGCTGTCATGGATTTTTTTTTTTTTTAAACGGACAATTTATAGGTGATCACCTTCCCTTTTTATTATTAATTATTCCTTTAGGGACCCTTTTCTGATTACATACATAATGCATATCCGTGTGATAAAAGGTTAAAAAAAAGGAAATAAAATCAAGACCACCCATAGTTCCATCTTTATAGGTTCCAGATGCTTCTTTATGTTGCTTAGAGATGCACAAATGTTATTTGGTGGAGACAGGAGCCATATATTTTATTAAATGGGGATTGCTCTGTGCGCTATGCTTGCAGCCTGTGTTTTCTGTCTGGCTAACATGCTCTATTGTTTTTTTTCCATAGTACCCAATATTCCTGGACGACGTGACTTCTAGTGGCTGTACAGTGTCCCACTGCAGAGATACAGGACAGCTCACTTAGCTCCCCACTTTTGGACACTGAGAAGGTTCCTGACATTGGAACAAACCCCGCTGCACTCAATACTGAAGCTAGATCCTCGTCCTGGGTCCTGGGGCTTCCTTAGGATAGACTCTCTATGCTTCAGACTTTCTTTCTCTCTTTTTTGGGTACTGGAGATTAAACCCAGGGGTGCTTGACCCCTGAGCCGCCTTCCCAACCCTTTTTAATATTTTATTTAGAAACAAGGCCTCGCTGAGTTGCTTAGGGCCTCGCTGAGTTGCTGGGGCTGGTTTTGAACCTGCGATCCTCCTGCCTCAGCCTCCCGAGCCCCTGAAGTCGCACCGTGGCGCCTGGCCCACGTTTTAGAATGTCCAAGGCTAGTTCCACGTGGCTACTTTGCCCTCAGGAAGCCCTGCACCCACTTGCTCTCCCACCGTGAGGAAGAAGTGGTGCCGTGACAGGGATTCTCTTCTGAACCGAGGATCTGGCCAGCAGAATGGGCTCTGCGGGGAATGCACCGTCACTCGAGTTTACTCTCTGTTGCCATCTCTGTTGCCAGCACTGTAACCACCAGCCGCCCGGCTCTAGCATGGGCCCGGGGCCAGGAGAACTCTGTCTGTTCTCTGGTCCCCTCCCCAAAGCCTGGGCGTCTGGAGCTGCTTCCCCTGGGGACCGGCCAGTGCCTCTGACTCAGCCCTTTTGTACCCTGGGACGACCCACCCCCCTCTGCTGGGCCCAGAGAATGAGGAGAGGATGACGGTGGTGGGGGTGGGGGTGCCGATGAGGACGGCGAGCGTAACGGGGCCTTCCTTGACTCAGAATCACTCCATTTACTCTTTTTCGACGTTGACCTGGTTCAGGGTTTGCAAGTGGGCACTCGGCAAATTCTATGAGCGATTCACTGACTTATTATCCAGGGGCTTTGTGTTCGGATGATTTTACCAACTCGTAACCTTCTAGGCATGTTTAAGGTGGGCTTGGCTCAGCGACCGTGTTCAGCAGATCGGGTATATTCACTGCGGTCTGGACCTGTGATAGGTTCCATCTATAAAGGGTTTATGGTAACCTAATCCCATCTAAGTCAAAGCCACTGAATGGTATTGGTGTCAGTCACTGCTGTTAGCCCCTTACCTATGTCGATTCCTTTAACTTTTGCCACAAGATGAGAAAGCAGGTGCTTTTATTACTACCATGGTGTGGATGAGAAATCTGAAATTCAGAGAGGGTAAGTGACCTGCCCAAGGTCACACAGCCTGAAAGGGATGGAACGAAGACTCTCAGAAACAGGCAAATAGGTCTGAGATGTGGATTGGGGTTCGGATGGGAATTCCTGTTCTGTTTCCTAGCACATCTCTACGCTTCTCTGAGCCTCCATTTATTCTCTGAAATGGGAGCGACACCTGCTACCTGGCTGGGTTAGGATGAGTCATTTTGTAAGTTACAGAATGGGTGTGGAGGTGAGCGTGGGGCTTTGATGTTTGGGTAAAGGTGGGCTCCTCTGAGGCTGAAGGTGTCTGTCTATGCTCTGGAAATTTCCAGGAGGGGGTGCCTGAGAGCAGAAGGGGAGCCCCAGGAGGGGGAGAGTCAAGTCAAAGGGGGAGGGGCATGGAGCTTCATTTGCATATCATTAGCATACTCCAATCTACACGGTCTACCACAGATAAAGTGAGGATGGCGGTCTGTAAAGACTGAGCTCCCCTGAGGGACGGCTAGGGACAGCTGCCACTTTCTCCGTGTAGCTCAGAGAGACGTCGGTGCCAGGAGCAGGCACAGCCCTTGGGGGACCGTGACCGGCTCTGCTGGAGAAAGGAGGTGCCGTGTCCAGGGTGGCCGAGCCCCGGGATTAGGACAGGGCGGGCGGTAAAGGCCTAGGGCTGCCCAGCTCCCTCCTCAGCCAGCGCCTGGCTCGGTGGCCCATGAAGGGAACATTTCTTGGCGGGCGGCCGTAGGATGCGGGGAGGGCAGCGAGACATGAGAGAAATGATCCCGTCCAACACTGACCGAGCGCTGCCCTGGAACAAGACATCCAGACGCGGTTAGGAAAGAGGCCGCTGCCTCTCCCAGATTCCCACTCGGTTAATCAAGCCCCTGATAAGGCCTGCAGCGCACAGCCCTGTCCGCGGCCTGGGTTCCTCAAGACTCTGAGCCCCCCCACGTCCCTCTCCCAGATGGCTATGGACACCTGATGCAAATCCTTAGTCCATCTCTTTATGAGACCAGCGGTAAAGCTGGGACCTTGGGGGGCCAGGAAGTGATAAAGAAAAAGACTCAGAAACAGGCCAACGGGGGGGTCGGGTCAGGACCGCAGGGCCAACAGCAGATGTGGCCGCCGTGACCCTGGCTCTGAATCTCACACACTGACAGAGAAGCAGGTGAATTGGTTTCTCTGGGCCTCGGTCTCCTTGTCTGTAAAATGGAGGTGGGGAGATGTGAACACAGTTACCCACACTCTCGGAAAGCCCCCAGTGGACGGTGAGCAGAGGGCCCAGTACAGCTGGAGATTCAAGCCAAGAGGGCTCTACCCTCAGCCCTTTTCTGAAATTGTATTTCTAGACAGGGTCTAAGTTTGTTGAGGCTAGCCTCCAACTTGCAATCCTCCTGCCTCAGCCTCCCCAGTGGCTGGGATTACAGGCGAGATCCACCGTGCAGGGATGAAATTGGCTTTTACTTTGAGCCCCTCATTATCGATCCTACTTTTAAAACCTCTTTATGAAAGATCTGGCCTGTGCTCTCAGGGGATTAGCCTAGCTGAGGTCACTCATTGCACATCCAACTGGCTCCTTATGGAAGCTCCAGTGGACCCATTTTAGAGATGGAGGAATTGAGCCCTCCAGATGCCCTTAAGGACCCTAAATGAGTCTGGCTGTGAGCTGGGGTCTCGGCCTGGGACCGTCAGACCCCGCTGGCTGAAAAGCACCTTCAAAGGAGGATGAAGGAAAAACCCTACAAAAAAGTTAAGTAATGGGCTCCTCCCCTCCCACGCCCCATCCAGGTGTGGTAGGGACAGAAGCTCCCAGAATGAAATGTAATTAAAACCAGCAGGAGGGGCGAGAAGTGCCCTGCACTATTATTAGCTCCAGTTTGTAGAAGCGCGTCTGCCATCACGTGTTTTCCACATACATTAAATCGTCCCGTAGCCTCGTGGGGCACCGATAACCAGGATCCCGGTCCCCAGCTGGGGAAACTGAGGCTCAGAGTGGGGAGGACTTCGCGGCCCCCATCCATCCCGTCAATGAACTGGGAGTAGAATCCGGGTCTCAAATGCCACCTATCCTTCCCTGTTTCTCGGGACCTTGCCACGCACCCCACTCGCTATTGTTCCACCCCAATGTTGTCATAGTCACCGGGCTACCTGCATTCCAGGCCCCAGGTAGGGGCACACGGTAGCGTCACGGCCATCCTCAGCCCTTTGAACACAGGTTTCCAGATAAGGAGAGAGAGACGCAAAGAAGTGAAGTCATCTGCACGTCCTGCACAGGATCCAGGGCCACAGCCAGTCTCCCAGAGCCCTCTCCAGGGCCA